GAGGCAGGAGACTCGCTTGAGCCCAGGAGTTGGAGGTTGCTCTGAGCTGTAATGTCACAGCACTCTACCCAGGGGGACAGCTTGAGGCTCTGTCTCAAAAAAAAAATAGAAATGTTCAAATTTCTGTGGCAGCACCTGTAGCTCAAGGAGCAGGGTGCCAGCCCCATATACTGAGGGTGGCGGGTTCGAGCCCAGCCCCAGCCAAAAAAAAAAAGAAATGAAATGTTCAAATTTCTAAGGACAATAGCACGAGACACAACTCATGAACAGCTACTCTGAGGACAGAGGAAGAGTGTGGGAGGGAGCTTAAAGCAAGAGAGAAGCACAATGGCATCTGTATTTCCTGTGTTTAGGGAATGAATGAAGGAATGGCAAGGCATTTAAAAAGGCAGGCTTTATAGGATCATGATGGTTGAATAGCAGTCAGGATACAGGCCAGAAAAACAGGAATAACCCACAAAGTGGAATCTGGCAAGTGGGAGAAGCAGCAGCATGTCCAGGAGAGCTACCACTTGGGACAAGCAGGGACAAGTAGGCCCAAGTAGGCCTGAGTAGCCAGAGAGAGGCCCAGCGTCTTTGCCCATCCGTTCTGCTTCTGTAACCATCGCTCGCCCTGCACACTCCTCTACTGAGTTCCCACTCCTTTTGTCAAAACATAAAGTCTATTTCCCCTCCCATTAAATTTGGACTTGCCTGACCAACAGAATCCAGTAGAAGTGATGCTCTACCAGTCTGTACCTGAGCCAAGTGGCCCTGCAGCTTCTGCTTTCACCCTGGAACCCTGAGACCACCACCATGTTATGAAGAGGTCAAATCTAGCCTCGTGGAGAATAAAAGGCAACGAAAAGAACCAAGGTGTCTTAGCTAATACCAACTGACACACATGTCACTGACACCTACGGGCACATCCCAGCCCCTGCTGAGCATGCAGCGCATCATGGCTCCATGTGTGACCTCAGAAACACCCAGCTGAGCCCAGCCATCCTAGAAAATAAGAAATAATTAACTATTATTACTTTAAGCTACTAAGTTTTGGGGGGCTATTTGTATGTAGTTATACATAACAGAAACATGAGAATCAAGCATCAAGTGCCAGGGACTTTTTTTAAACCAAGAGACAAAAGCAAGAAAAGAACAATATTCTTGATGTATATGAAGATGGGATTAAAGCCATGCCACAGAGAATATACTGAATAATTTTCTAGGAAGGAATCTTCAACTCTGAAATCTCAAAATAAAATTTCTGATCCTGCCTGTCATTGCACACAGAATGGCACCTGTACCAGAATTTTTACCTAAAAAATCTGGCTCTTTAGGCTTGGCACCTGTAGTCACAGCTACTTGGGAGGCTAAGGCAAGAGAATCGCCCAAGAGTTGGAGGTTGTTGTGAGCCGTGATGCCACAGCACTCTACTGAGGGCAACATAGTGAGACTCTATCTTAAAAATAAATAAATAAATAAAAATAAGAAGAGATAGGAACATGTCTAGGGCTTGCTGCCCCTAGCAGAGGTGTGTATGGTCTGCCTCAAGGAGGTGTGCAGAATGAAGGAGACTAACTGAGCCTGCAGAGAGCCTTCCCGGCCCCTTGTGCCTACTTCCTGTTCACAGTGCATTCTCCTTGCCCAGCCACTCTCTCCTCACCTGCACCCATTGTGGTCACAGGAGCCCTCTTGCCACCTTCTCACTCAGTAGCACAATGAGAAGGAGCGCTCGGCATCCATAGTACAGTGGTTATAGTGCCAGCCACATATACTGGAGGCTGGCAGGTTGGAATCTGGCCCAGGCCAGCTAAAAAACAAAGACAACTGCAACAAAAAAGAGCTGGGCATTGTGGTGGGCACCTGTAGTCCCAGCTACTTGGGAGGCTGAGGCAAGAGAATCGCTTAAGCCCAAGAGCTGGAGTTGCTGTCAGCTGTGG